TGATCGTTACTAAGATAATACACAGCTTGGTTTAATCTTTACTTAATATTGATCGTTACTAAGATAATACACAGCTTGGTTTAATCTTTACTTAATATTGATCATTACTAGGATAATACACAGCTTGGTTTAATCTTTACTTAATATTGATCGTTACTAAGATAATACACAGCTTGGTTTAATCTTCACTTGATATTGATCATTACTAGGATAATACACAGCTTGGTTTAATCTTTACATAATATTGATTGTTAATAAAATAATAAATAGCTTTGTAATGCAATATGTCCTTTCAGACTGGCTTCAGATTTAGCTAAGTGTCACCAGAAGAGGTCATTAACACCCCAAAGTCACACAGAACATGGGTATCAAGAAAAAGTATGGTAAAGAGCCTGCTTCTTCTGAGCTCATGAAATACAGGGGTGGGATAAACATCTGGGGTTTATGAAACCGGTAAGATGGCAAGGGTTATCCTACACTCAACCTAAGAAAAGCAGTTAAAATCCATGAATGGGTCCTAATATGAGATATATATGAAAATTCAATCATATTCTTACCTTTTTCATCATGTGTTGTGGTCACCAAATATGGTGGCTTTGCATATTTTACATTTTTGTTTAGCCATTGTTGAAATTCTTAAGATATATTTTCTGTAAATTTTATGCTAATCAAAGTTATTATTACTACCATGAAATAGACTGTGAGAAAGAAAATAACCTCTGCTTGAAGTAGATATATTTATGATTTTGTAAGATTTAGATGTCTGGAAACTAAGATAAAGTTAAGTTCATTGAAGTTTACAGTTTTTGACACTGACAACTTCAATAATTCAATGTTCTCAAACTATCTGAGCTAGAAATAAGGAACTACCATGTCAAAAGGCTACAGATGTGTAAATTATTCTTCTTCCCATACAAAAATGGCAATTGGAGAAAATCTAAATTAGGGTCAGAAATGTGGATTGTTTTTTAATTTATTCAAACTTAATGTTAATAAAATTTATATCAAACTCATGAATTTGAATATTTCAAGTATAGTTTTGTTTTGTAGAATATTTCGCAAGAATAAGATAACATTTTTTAAAACTTGTTGTTCTTATGCCCTCCTAAAAAAAAAACAACAAGATATCAGACAGGAAAGGGTTAATCCAATAATGAACCAACATTAGCTTCATGCTCCGAGGTTGGCTTAATGTAAACATTTTATATCATTAAGTATTAAAATTAGGATAATAAAATAATGAACCAACATAGGATTCATCCAATAATGCTCTGATGTTGGCTTAATCTAATATTTCTATATCATTAAGTATTAAAATTAGCCTAATCCAAAAATTAAAACTGGCTTAATCTAACAAAACTATATCAATCACACTGAGATTGGCCTAATGCAACAATTCTACATCATTAGGTTATAATGATAACAGCTTTTAATAACCCACAAAGTCACTAATTAGAGTTAACAAGGTGACTTTAATCCAGCATGATTATGATAAGTCAGGATGAGATTGAGTTAATCATGAAACTGTTATAAGAACAGTAGAGAATAAAAATACCTGATAGTCCACAGGGATCAGTGGGTGGTGTGGAGGAAAAGCTCGGGTCGATCCTTTCCTGTGAACCAGAAGGGTCTTCTCTTTACCATCCAGAATATGTTGTTCTATTTTAGCTATATTGTGAGATACATCATAAATCATATGCATGTCCAGATCATCTGGCGTGGAGTTGAAGATCTTGGCAAAAGCCTAGTAAAAAACAAAACGAATATAACAAGCCAAATCAAAGATATTTCAGAGTAAAGCAAATTCAACTTAACTCTTCACGTGCTGCACTGGTATTTTAGTCACCTTCGAACTCCTTAAAAGGATGACTACTTTTACTTTTGTGAAACTAATACAAAGAGATCAAAATAGTTATTTTTTTTGTCAATTCTTTAATTACAGATAATTTCATTATACTCTTAAAATAAGTATATTGTTTTTTTACTGCATAACAGCGAAATATGAAGTATTGATATTTAACTTTAGCTTGGTAATTTTAGAAGTAAACAAATTCTATCCCCAAGCCAGTAAACATTTTTTAAACCATACTTCTGGTTATAAATATGTTAAAATTAAATACATAAACTGCTACCCAAAATAACTAGCAATAAAAGAAAAAAAAATTGGTATGCATCATAAATCATTAGTGTGTCGTATGTCTTCAGAAATAAAAATACCACACAGTTTCATAACTGTTTAAATACAAAATGTGTGGTATTACCACACAGCTGTTTTCAGAGTAAAGTTATGTCACTACTGTAAACAGTCAATCTTATGGTTATTCATTCTTATCAATAGAAAGAACCATGGTACTGTGTTTATTTGTTGTTGTTCACATAGAAAATAATGATATTGTGGCTGTCCAACAGAAATAGTCATATACTGTAGTCACCTATTTCTTTCAAACTAAAAAAACAAGTCATGGTATCATGGTCATCCACTGCTTTGAACAAACAAGTCATGGTATCATGGTGATCCACTGCTTTGAACAAACAAGTCATGGTATCATGGTGATCCACTGCTTCGAACAAACACAAGTCATGGTATCATGGTGATCCACTGCTTCGAACAAATACAAGTCATGGTATCATGGTCATCACTGCTTTGAATAAACATGTCATGGTATCATGGTCAACCACTGCTTTGAACAAATACAAGTCATGGTATCATGGTCATCACTGCTTTGAATAAACAAGTCATGGTATAATGGTCAACCACTGCTTTGAACAAATACAAGTCATGGTATCATGGTCATCACTGCTTTGAATAAACATGTCATGGTATAATGGTCATCCACCGCTTTGAACAAAAATAAGTCATGGTATTAATGTCATCCACTGCTTTGAAGAAAAAAAAGTGATGGCATTATGGTCATCCATTCCTGTCATAGATAAAAACATACCTGTCAACAAAAAATGTCATACAAATACTCGCCTATACAAGACAGTCATGGCACTGTTGTCATTCATATCTATGAACAAAAATCATGATCCCTGGTAAATCATGCTGTTTGCAGAAGAAAGTCACAATAGACTGATAATTCACATTTGTCCACAGAGAAAAGACACAGAATGCAAATAATTCATAACTGTCTCCTGTGACAAGTCAAGGTATTTGGGTAATAGAAACGTGGCTACAGAAAAAATTAATTGCATCCGGTGATTCACATCGGCCTACATAACAAAGTAAATGTCACTGCTGCCATTCATCCTGGCCTACAGAAGAAAGTTATGGCAGTTTTGTCATTCTTAGTTGTCCACAGAAACAAAAAAAAAAAAGACTTTGCACTGTTGTCATTCATGTTTGCTCATAACACTGTTAACAGGGCCAGATTTAGAGTTTGCAGGGCCTTAAGAGTTTAATACATCATTTTCTATAGATAAAACTGCCAGTGATTCCAAACTTTCTAAGTTTCTCAAGACATGGTATAATGGAGGTAAATTTTGATAAGCTTAAGACAAGAAAAACTTTCTGTTGAAGTAACAGTAACTGGAAACTTCAGGACTTTGCAAAGTGCTACATACACATTTGGGTCGATCATGTAATTCATCAAGTATGATCAATTTAAAGGCAGATTATTTTGGTATCAGGTGATATAATCCTGCAAAGTACTAAGTTCTTCATATATGTCTATGTCACTTGAACCCTCGATGTTGAGTTTAATCATAAGATCTTAGTAATACTGGAAAAGTTCTTCTGAAATAGTGTGAAGTCCTTCTTAGTCAGGTTTTAGGTCAATTTTGAACAACCTGGGAGGATCAGTTTCAATAAATTATATAAAAATACAAATATTTCCATGTGTTTTAAGAGCCTCAGCTGCTCAGGTTGCAGTATTTACCCAAACTGTATAAATTCTAACAATAAAGTAATGAATCTTGAATGCTTCTTTAGAATCATTAGTATATTCATTCTTACATTTATAATTAAAATTTTCTTCATTTGCTATCACCCTTTTTTGAATTCTTTTTCAATATCTAAAGTTTCTGCTAGATTATTGGCAGTTGAAAGTGTGAACTCAAAGCCTGTTGATTTATATTCACCAATCTGTTTTAAAAAGTCTTTTACATGTTTTACAGAGCTGTCCAAATGCCCGTCATTACTCAACCATAATTCACTGATACCCGATAGTGTTTACATTTATTAAGTGATCATACCATATAATAAGAGATCCCCCCCAAAAAATCATAAAACAATCTCATTCACTACGAAGTTTGGAATTGCCTTTATAATTTGCCAATAGTTCCAGTAAAACATCACAGTCCTCCGAGTTGATATCAAACAACTTTCACACTATCTGTGCAGCACTCCCATCCAGCTTCTGAAAGAAGTTTTAGGGTAATATTTACAGTTTCTTTTATACATAAAGTATAAAGTCAATCAAAGTAACCCAAAAAATATTTCAGTCTCTGTACAAGATGAAGCAGCATCTCCTAAGGTCGAATTTCAACTATGATAATCACAGGGACAGAAGAAAACTCATGAATTGATTTGAAGTCTTCTTGCTTTTACACCATTCTTTTCCCCATGCATATTTGCACCACTGTCATTGCCTTGTCCACGACAATCGTGGATGTCCAAGCCAAGGTTTTCTATTTCTGCCAAAAGGATATTAGATAGACCTATTACTGTTGTTTGAAGCACTGGCAGAAAACCAATAAAATGCTATTCAATTTCCCCAGTAATGCATTCAACATGGTGCAATATCTGTCATTTGCTGAGGCTCATCTCTTGTACAGTCCAAAATAAATATGTAATATTTTGCTTCCCTCACCTTCTACATCTTACCTTTCACTTTTTTAGCCATTAAATCAAGTAATTTGTTTTGGATGGCCTTACTGAGGTAGAATGTATGTATTTCATTCTTCATGACCAAATCTAAATATTCTTGCATGACTGGATCAAATTTAGCCAATAATTTAACCAATTCAAGGAAACTGTCATTGTTTTACAGAATCATTCATAACGTGTTCTTCGTTACCACCAAAGACTAAGTTTTGATATGCCAAAACTCTACACTATAGCAAAGTCTTTCTAAAATATTTCTCCACCATTGTTTCTCTATTTCCATTTGAGTTTGTGCACTATTTAGTCACTTTCAAAGTCTAGCCATTTCATCACACATGTTCTTTATTATTTTCACTTGATTTTAAAATCAAGTTCAGGTTTTTCCAGTCTGAACAACCTTGAGAAGCAAGGGCAGTCCTTGTTTGAATTTTCAAAATAGATAACAAGCAAAACAAAATAGTCTTTATTTTGAGAACCAATGTTGATCATACTTTTCTCCATCACTTAAAATATGTTTATGATGACCTCAAATGACCTACAGGAAAGTCATCATTTTCTCTGAAGATGCAAATTAGACCTTCTTGAATATCATTACAAAACTGATTATTGTTTACTGGCAAAACCCATTCACTAGGATCATCTAAATTGGTAAAGGAAACAGACTCGTCTTCTATTTCTGCTAAATAAATTAAATTAGCACTTACAATCATATCACACCACACTGAGTTATCAGGAGTTCCACTTTTACTTTCACAATATTTATCACACACACTACTAGATTATTTACATGTTTTTCACTCCCATTATTACTAGAATCAGTTCTTTCACCACTATCTTTTTTCAGATATTTGCTCACGGATCCTATCAAATGTGTTAGTGAGTCTTCCATATCAGCATTCCTATTTTCTACCTCTTTCACAATCTTCACTTGCCATTGTTATATAAAAAGTAAGAAGATAAAAATTTTTAAAAATAAATTCTAACTAGATTCTGTAAATGCAGTCTAGAATGGAGCTTTGAATACCTGACTTATAAATTTTACTAGGTGATAAACCCATGTGATGAACAGTGAGAAGTTTTTAAACTACAAAAGTTTGTTATTCCTTCACGAGATTTGATTTTATTACCTCACCTCCATGGTTATTGTTTGTAAATTTTGTTGGTCCATTTTAGGAAAGAGTTCCATATCGCACCCCCACCCAAAAATTGTAGAATTGCCTGGATAAAAAAAGATTCTGAAAAGGGTTTATAAAAGACAACTACCT